AATGATTTCCCGGGCATATAGAAGAGCAGTGTTGTTTTTTCTCAAATGCTAGGTTTACTCTTAATGCAGCCGTATTCAATAGAAAGAGATACATTATTACAGTGGCATTTAGTGAGAAAGGGGATAAAGAACTGATTTTCTTCTTAAATACTATGAACATTTTCTAATGATTTGGGGAAACTAAATTACATTTCCACTCCGTCCCATTGTATTGTATTATCTTCCCCACAAAATATCTCTTGAGGTATAAATAGCTAAAACAACATCCCAAAAACTGATTAAACTCATTCTGCTTTCTAATTTTTAGCAAGAGTTGCAGAGAACAGTTTCATTGATAGAGTTTACTTCTAAAACTCTGATAAACCAAATTATTTTAAGATTTCAATTTTGTATGAATAAACTTCTAAGTTTCACATCTTTTTGACTATTAAATATTTCATTTTTTTGTCCTGTAGCTATAGATTTTAAGCCCTCTGAAAGTGTTCTACTGAAACACTTTTTTAAAAAAACAATTGTACAGGTAAGTCCTTATTTAGTTCTTATTAACCGTACCACAGTTACAATGGTGATGAAAAAGTAACTTTACAACCAATTCTCACATTTATGACATTCAGAGGTCTGTAAAGCAAAGGAAAGCTGAAGTAAGATCACAACGACAGATCAGTTTCACTTAGTGACTGCTTTGCTTAACAACCAAGATGCCAGTTCCAATTGTGGTCACTAAATGAGGACTACCTCTACTTCATTTTTATTCAAATAAGCAAAAAAATAAATGTTTACTCTTTTATCATATATAAGCTAAACACAACATGATGGCAACCAAATACAAAATGCTTTGCTAGGTATATTTCCCCTTATTAAAACTATTTAAAACATACAAGCATCCCAAATGTTCTTCTATCAGCCACTACTTTACCTCTGAAAATAACATGTGCCATCAATCAGCCAAAAGCATTCAACATTCTTAGCTATGACTAACAATTATCAAATGTACTTCCTTTAGCTAAGATTGAGGATATTGTTAAACTATTAGCAAGCCTAAATTAACATTTTAATAAAACTGAAATAAGGTGCTCCATGGCTCAGTAAGGAAAGAAGACATAGTAGGCCTTTGCACCCATTGTGGCAAAAAGTAACTTTTATCCCAGCTTGAAACAGTCTGTAGAAACAAACACAATGCAAAGAATGTTCTGCAAACAAGTTTAGAACACAATTCCCATCTTAACTCTGGGTAACATATTGAGAAATAATGAAGAAGCCCTTCCTGAGCATGTCCAACTTTTGTTCATGTAAGCAGTGGAAAGTTTTACATACAAGGTTATACTGGCATTGTTGTTCCTAAAAGCCTGGATAGTTGTACCTTTTATTGTTGAATTCCTTAGGAAAGAATTGGGATACCAAGTAAATTCTATTGCCCCAAGGCTTACTTTCTAAACTTTTAAGTCTCCAACCTTCATTTTCTGAGACATATTATTAATATCCCCACTTTCCAGCTTTTAAGTACATTCAATTGTACATAACTTGACTGGTGCAACTTTGCACAGTTGTATCAAGATTTACTTAAATCTTCAATTAAAATCTAATTATAAACTGGCTCTTTTAGGAAGGAATTTTTTTCAGTGGAAAATCTTTCAAACTTTCTCTTTTTTTCTTTTACATCACATGTACATTCTGGTCCTTCTGCCACAATTTTTCATCAAGATTTCTGAGACAGTATTTTAAGAACATACCGATTTGTTAGGTTCTCCAAAGATTTTTGCGGTGAATTATTTTACTAAGCTATATTGAATGAATCAAAGTGTCAACAAGAATTGACAATTGCTTGTATTGTATGCACAATCACTTTTAGAGGGCAAAAACCATAAGCAAAGGCCTGGTTTACTTGAAGGTCTATGTATTCATTTTAGTTGCTTTTTGCAAGGGTTGTACTTTCCATCTGCATAATTCAGCTTCGTGTGGTAATTTTTTTTATAGTGAGGAGCTGTAAAAGAATCAAAGCAGCATTTCTTCATTTCCATTTAGTGAAATAAAGGAAGAGTTTTCTTCACAAGATGGGCATTCATGAATAGCAACTCTTTTAAGAAACAGCCTCCCCTGGATCAAAAAGAAAAGACCTGGAATGAAACACACACAAATTATTTATTTATATCCCACCTTTATTATTTTTACAAATAACTCAAGATTGTGAACACTTCCAATAAACCTTCCTCCTATTCCCCCCCCCCCCAAAAAAAAACCCCCTCTGTAAGGTGAGATAGGCTGAGACAGAATGACTGGCCTAAGATCACTGGCTTTCATGGACTGGCCTAAGATGACTGGCTTTCATGGATAAGGCAGGACTTGAACACCACAGTCTCCTACTCTTCTAGCCTGGAGCCTTAACCATTAGATCAAGCCAGCTCTCAACCAAACTGGCTCTCAATTAATATAATAAAACTGAAAACAATATTTCATTTTGTGGAAACGTGGCATTTTAACACTAGAAAATAATCTGCAGATGAATTTTAGATAATGTCAACAACTGGGGTATTGTGCCATTAATCATGGTCACATTCTGCTCACTTTTAAGACTCATTAATTTCCCATACACAGCAAGACTACTTTATAAACTAGAATTTGAAGACTATGTTTGCCTCCTGATACATAAATATCACTGGAAAACATTGCTATGAAAAGTCACTGAGTACGGAAAATAAATCTTCTATCTATTGCATGTAGCAATAGCAATAGCATTTAGATTTATATACCACCCCGTAGCACTTTACAGTGCTCTCTGGGCAGTTTACAATGTAGAAACATTATTTGCGTATGAAATATATGGTGATAAATGTACAACATAAAGTAGTATACTGTTCTAAAATAATCTACTGAGAACAACTGAATTGAGATCCAAGAAGCTTATCATTTGGAATGCAGGAGAGGCTCACTTTAGGAATTAATGCTATTTAATTGAAAACTTGCTATGGAATAAAAGACAACAGATTTTTTTTTTAATGAAAATGATAGCAGTCTATAAGCCACTAACAATATCAAAGAACATTGACTTTCAATATAACCTATATTGTGAGACTGTAAGCAAAGACTGCAGAAAAAGGATGCATTTTCAAATGACAGTTTGAACCAATTCTAGTTTTCCATCCCAGCACATTTTTTATTTCCCTCAAAGGTCTTCAAGAACTTTTGAAGTTTAATAACTATAAAGGCATAGCACTCCTTTTTGTACTTATTGTTAAGAGTGTTCAAATGTTTTACTTCCATTTACACTTAAACAAGAATATTTGTATAAGCAAAAATAAATAAATGTAAAAGTGCTTAGCATTTATAGTCAACATATCACTCAAGGAAGACCATAAAAAGCAAGTGTTAAACCTTTGTGGGTGATATTTTGTTCGGAAAAATTATATCCATTTATTGTTTTAGGCCTATATGGTATAGAAATAAACTGTTATTAATAGATAATAGAGATTCTTAAAATTCATTTCATTCACAAAAACAAAAGTTCCCTAAATGATTTTTGCCCATTCTGTCGAGCTGGGAATCTACCACAATAGAATTCCTGACAAATTACCAACTGAGAGGGTGGACTCTTTTAAGTGATTTAAAAAAGGAAGCAAACAGTTTTAATCAATGATATAGATCAAGTTTGTTTATTTCTAAATAAAGGTAAAAGCCTTTAAAACACTAAAAATTTAATCATCCTAATAAAAAGAACATTGTGGAGAATTTTACTGAAAAAAGGGTACAGTATATCAAAGGTATAGTCTTATCTATCAGACTATTAACTGTTTTGAAAAATAAAGATTAGTCTGGTATAATTTGCCTTTAGTTTAAAAGAATTTAATTTAAAACAGATTTTGCAAAGTGGCCTTTTCACACTGCTAAAAATCAAGTCTTAAAGATCTGAGAGTCTTTTGAATATCTGAGCTCAGTCATTCAAGCTCTGGTCATCTCAAGCCTGGACTAACGCAATGTGCTCTACATGGGGCTACCCTTGAAAAGCATTCGGAAGCTACAACTGGTGCAGAGTGCTTCAGTTCAGACAAATTTTGGGGGCCCTGGAGTGGCCCATCTTACACTGCTGTTCCATGAGCTGCACTGATTGTTGGTTTGCTTCCCAATGCTATTCAAGGTGTTGGCTATTATCTTTAAAGTCCTTCAAGGCATGAGTCCAGGTTACTTGAGGAATTGTCTCATCCCAAGGGGACAAGCCCACCCCACCAGTGCCAGCAGAGAAGGCATACTGCAGATCCTGTTGGTCAAGTAATTCTGGCTGGTGGGGTCCAGGAGAAGAGCCTTTTCTACCGTGGCTACAGACTTTTGGAACATCTTGCTCCTCGGAGTGAGATCTGCCCCCACCCTCTTGACCTTCTGTAAGGGCTTGCCAGTTGGCCTGGAGCCCCAATGGGGAGTATCATGTTGGAGGTGGCTGATAGACCAATAGCAGATCCCACCTCCCCCCACTATGGTATTACTGCTTCTAACATTGTAATCCATCCAGAGTCACCTCGTGGTGAGATGGCTAGCAAACAAATATAATAAAATAAGTATCAGCACCAACATCAAGCTGCTGATAATACCAGAGGTCCAGATTAGATTGGAAGGTTTCAAAAATCTCCTGGAAGAAGCTAACAGCAAACAACTTCCACATCACGCCAAGAAAACAACCAGTCCCTAACATTATCAGGAAGCAAGATTAGCTTGAAGGAGTATTTACCTTTAGTGACGAATCATTCCTGGATGTTCTTCCCTTTTGGACAATAGGGACATTTGCTTGCTTCCAATTCCATTACAATTTCTCTGTGAATATAGATTTTTCATAAATTATAGAAAAGTCATAATGAAGATATTCTAAGATCAACTTCTAAAAAATGAGATATTCAGATAGAGCAGGGTTCCCCAACATACGGTCCACGGCCCAGTGCTGGGCCACAGTCCATTGGGAACCAGGCCGTGGAAGTGATGGGTGAGTGCAGGCATGTGGTCCACTGAGCTGGAAAGGTTGGGGACTGCTGTTATGGAGGAATGTGTTCACAGACCATATTTTAAGCTATTTGTAATTTCTCTTGTACTTTTTCCATTCTACATCTGTACATTTGGTTTATTTTTCTGGAATATATGCATTGCATCTGCTA